GGTGGTGGAAAAACCCTTTGTCCAGGGTGGGACACACACACACACACACGCACCTATCTATTTGGGGTACCTTCTCACCTGCTGGTGTGTCTGACACAGCACCCATGACACAGCACCCGCCCGGCATGGAAAAGGTGTAAAATCACTCACCCTAGGGCTCCAGTCGTACCTTCTGAGAAGGCGGGACTGGGGTCGGTTTGGAGGGCCCAGTCATACCTTCTGAGGAGGTACGACTGGAGCCCTAGGGTCAACAATCCCAGCCGAAAAGGTCATTGCAGCATGTTGCAGCCAACAATTTCCTGTTGAAAAGTGTCCATCGTCTGAGCCGCAAGAGAAACACGTACATGGTTCCCTCCATGGGGACTGGAATGTAGCCTGGGAACACAGACCATCCAATGAAACTGGAATCGTGACTTGCAGTGACACAGGGTCACTAAACCTTCATGAGACTGGCATCATGAATCTACGTTACTAAAAAAGCCCTTTTCTTCTCAACCACCTGTCAAACCTGATCAGCCAAACATTGCCAGACTTACCTCGGTCGTGAGAAAGAGTATGACATCCTGAACCCGAGAAAATCGGACATGACTCATGACCCTATATAGTGGATTGAGAGTAGATGGCACAGACCCCTAAGATCCCTAAGAGGTGGTTTATATGGACCCCCATCTAAAGGACATCTTGGTGTCTGTGCCATCTACTGTGAAACCACTGTAAAAGAAGGTACTTGCACCAGAAGTCACATGTCGGGGTGCTGGTTCCGAACGGAGGTCGTCGGGGTGAAAAGGCTAGATCCTGTCACATCCACAGCCCCGGTCGGCTGGGATGAGTCACACCACCCCGTCATACTGTGACCCCCTGGCTACCAGATGCAGGACACACCAGAACTCAGCACCCTCCTTGAACAGCACCCCGGCACCCCCCAAATGGCACTCACTGTTCACTTCGACTCCGACTCCACGAGAGCCATTGAGATCCTGACGTCCGATCCATCCTGCATATCTTGTTGGATGAAGCCATATTGAACACCACCTCGCAGGTGCTGATGAGCTACCCGGGCCATGGCTGGCCGAGGTGGGTGGAGTGGCTACTGGGTGAGATGAAAGCACTGAGTGTGGCACGTTCAGCACGAAACGAAGCTGAAAACGAAACCCACTGGGCTACATGAAAGCATGGCTAGTCTTGCCTTAGACTAGCCAGCCCAAAGAGATGCCTTCACAAATGCCCCTTGATACAGGCGGATAGACCAGCACCCCACCACCAATGATGCCTATGGCACAGCCCACCGCCCGTCGGCTTCCACTAGCTAACACGAGGGGTGTCTGCAGGCTGAACCTGGGCCCAAAGTTGCGAGGGGCCTCAAGCCGCAAAGCAAGCACCATGAACTGAGATTCTCCATGTTTCTCCCCTTGGCCTGTGGCCTGAAATCAAGCACCACTGGGATTGCCAGCAACAACAACAACAACAACAAAACAATACACTCATTCACTTTCGACTGGTTCAGGAAGACTGGTTCGCACTCAATCACTGCTTCAGGTGGGACGTTCGTCTCACTTCTTCCCCCGTTCGTCTCGCGTCCAGTGAGCAAAGCGCCGAGCGCCCCCGCTTTTCTCGATGGTTCCGGTGAAGATGCCGGAGGTCGGTGACTCGGAAGCGAAGTCGATCGGACGAGCGGTTCCGCGTGCACGTACGCCCGCGGATATGCACGGCGGCGAAGCGAAGGGTTCCAATATGCGTTGCCCAGGGCTGGTGAAATGACCTTCTTAACTTATACCTACCCCAGTGCATCCCAGTTACCACTATATAAGGAACCAGGGATTCTAGGTCTATGGTTTTAGTCTTTGGAACCACTGTTTACCAGGTATGGTGGTAACTGGATGCCCTGGGTACCAGTATCCCGACTCCAAAAAGGTCTGGGAGACTGACTCGAGTAGCAGGCGGCCATGATGTAGCTAGCTCGACACTTCGCTCGAACGATCCGTGCACCGTGAATCTGCGGCCAACACCCCCGGACCAGGTCTGCTATAGACTCGATCCCAGGACCAAATCAGGTTCGCTACGACTGGACTGTCCGGGCACTTACAGTGGAGACAACACATCACCGTAGCTCAGAGGGCACGACTGGATCCCCGGGGTGGGGTGAGAAGATGTTCGTGTCAAGGCTCCATCTGACCTCAAACGCTTTGGAATATGGCAGTCCCAAACAGGTCGTGTCTAGGTTTCCGTGTGCTTTCCCTCCCCCCACAGACTGCACAGATCAGAAAACGCAAGCTGCTTTCCACCGGCTGGTGTAAGGACCCCGAACCGGGCGCACATTATCTGCTCGTGGGCGGCCAGTCTTGTGGTCCATCACTACCTGAAGCACAGAGCCCCGCTTTCTGCAAGACAGATGGAGCATACACATCCCTAGACCTCCAATCGCACCGAGTCTGAGGTTCGGTGGGACTGGGGTCGTGATCGGTGCCAGGAGGGTCCAGTCCTACCGAACCTGAGGTTCGGTACGACTGGAGCCCCAAAAACGGGCATCCAAACACCACAAGACCAGGGCCGCGTCCTCCGGTACGAGTGACCCACCTTCCAACCCGCAAACCTTTTGTATCTTCTTTGATCTCCCTCCAGGGACTTCCGTCTCATACAGGAAGATAACACGAATTCGCAAGGAAAAAAAAACGCATGGTCAACCCAACGGCTGGTCCTACGGCGCGTCGACGCAGCGTCGGCGCGCCAGTTACGTGTCAAGCAAGGACAGCTTCTCCGCTAAGACGACCGGTTCCCAGGAGTCTCTAGGTGCCTAGGGCTCCAGTCGTACCGAGCCTGAGGTTCGGTGTGACTGGGGTGGGTGCCAGGAGGGTCCAGTCCTACCGAACCTGAGGTTCGGTACGACTGGAGCCCTGGGGCCGAACCAACCAGGAAATCCACTTCGGTCACGAACTGAAGGTCTCCAAGTCCTCTATGGTCCTCTGCTCTTCAAGTGCACCTGCTTTTACAGAAATGCAGCCGTCCGCGCTGATGAAAAAACCCGTTGAGAGCACAGTGACGTGGGGATTCTCCAGCTTAGTGGTGAACACAAGTTCCAAAAGAAACATCCCAATTCCGAGGTCGATGGTTGTGTCAAAGGCTTGGTCGCTAGGCAAGGTGATTCTACCTGCTCCTGCGGCAAATGTCGGAGGCAAGGTGTTAGTTCGTGTCACCTCATGGCTGCAAGCATAGGACAAGTACACATGATCCTAAGTATCAGGTCATGTTTTAATCCTGTGTGCTTACAGTGAAGGCCCTATGTCACATCAACTTTTTGCTGGGAACTCTATTTCCTTTGCGATTCAATCGATGCGACCCCCCTCACATCATGGTCACATCAACTCTACATTGAGCTTGTGCAAAAGAGTTTCTTTCAGAATGAAGTTAGTGGTTCTTGTTGGTACTCTTCTGTAGGTGCTCTGCGAGCTGAAAAGCAAACGTACCATACTTCTGCCCATTTCGCCGTCAAGGCCCGCGTGGCCTCATAAGCCACATGCATGCCCAACGGAGGGAGCGCTTCACCGCCTAGACAGACGTAACCCGACCTTCCCACTGCCACGAAAGATCTCGTACGACTCGTAGTATGGAATACTCCCTATGGACCCGCTGCCACCGAACCTGAGAAGTTGAGGGCCCAAGTGTGGAGGCCCCAGTCGTACCTTCTGAGGAGAAATAGGGGCCTTTCTGCCAAGGGTACCTTCCCTCCCTACTTTATTGGAGACTATTTATGTAGGCATGGAGGGCCCAGTCGTACCTTCTGAGGAGGTAAGTGAATCTTTGGGGACTTACATACCAGCACCCGAAACCGCCACCGGGTCGCCCCTTGCCACTCTCAAGGCTCCATTTCAGCCACCATTTCGGAGACCTTTTTCGAGTGGGGTGCTGGGGGGTATTGTTACATCCCCAAGAATTCTTGGGCTCTCCCCTCCATAGCAGGGGTCCGGGCCCTCAAAACCCTATCTGTTTGAGGGCCCGGATTGCAGTCATAATGGACAAATGATTACAAATTTATTGAAGAACTATATACAAACGGACTTGAGTCTGAGGAGTCATCTCGTTCTATATATGTCTGTCATTGTCTGTTCGGTTGGAACTATGAACATGGAACCTGGGATGAAGGATGCGGTCTTGATCATCTACCGTCTTGACAGTGTGAGACGTGGACTAAACGATCGAGACACACAAAAAAAGCACGAGAGCCTCATGCCAAAAACCCTAGGGCTCCAAGTACCTGCTGAGGTTCGGTGTGACTGGGGTGGGTGCCAGGAGGGTCCAGTCATACCTGCTGAGAAGGTGTTTGGAGCCCTAGGGCCCTAGGGAAACTGTTTCAACGCACCGTGTGGACGGCTCACGTCGGACGTTGGACGACTCGCTTAAGCGGGCGGTGCTTCTTCCGCTTCCATGCCGAACGCTGCACGGTGTCGCTGCATGTGGGCATGCAGAGGTCCAAAGCGAAACACGCTCCACGGGCGACGGGCGACATCTACATGTCCTCTGCACCAAGAGTTCCAAGCTGGGGTGGTTTTTGGAACCCCCCTACTGATGAGTGGATGCGACTGCTGGGCACCCCAGACTGACCGTCCGCCCTTGAAATTGCTGCTGGTTCTTCAGTTCGTGACCCATTCGTCCTGTGGGTCATCAACAGGGACTCCAAAGTTGTTTCACGAACTGAAGCTCGAAAACACCACATGTCTGTATGTTGTTGGATCCTTAAATAGATCCAGAAATATCCGGAAGAGAGCAAGATTCACTTCGTTGCAGCGGGCAGCCCGGACCAGGGTCTGGTTTGACAGGCGTCCGCCAGGCGCCGCGTCTCCATCCAGACGTAAACATGAGAGTTGCGTGACCCCAATGGGCTCCAAGTATCCCTAGGGCTCCAACCACCACCTCAGGTGGTTAGACCCCCCAACCCCAAGCATCTTCTCAGGAGGTGGGCCAGGAGCGCTAATCAGACTATATACCTTCGTAACTTGCTTCGGTGGGACTCTACGGGGCCCGGTGGTGCCAGGAAGGTCCCGTCAAACCGAAGCGCGGAGGTCCGACGTCTTTTTTATCACTTGGCAGGGGGGGGTGGGGACGGGCCCCCTGCAGGCCCTAAGAATCTATGCCCTCAGCAACAGACTCCGGGTTTGGTGCCCGGACCTGCCCCGGTGCGAAGAGGGAGGGAGGGAGGGAGGGAGGGAGTCCGACCCACGGAGCCCCTTGAGGTCAAGCCCGCCCGTTCATACGGAGTCTTGGGCTCCAATCGTACCTTCTGAGGTTCGGTGTGACTGGGGTGGGTGCCAGGAGGGTCCAAATACCGAACCTGAGGAGGTACGACTGGAGCCCTAGGGGGTGGTATCGGAAGTGGATGGACATCGGAAGTGGGAACACCGCCGATCTATGTTGCTCCGAGGTCGGATCTCTTATGGTCCGAGCCTTCGGGCCCCATGTAGCCATGAGGCTTCCGAGGATTGGCCACCGGAAAACTGGGTCCCACCAGGCAAATTCAAAAAAAAGACCTCCCCTTTAGCTCTGTTGGGTTCCTTTTTTTCACCTGCCTAAAGTGCTATAGGCACCCAGCAGTCTGGGAGACCTCCCCGCGGTCGCTTCATGTCGCTCCCAGCTCCCTGCGTGGCAGCTCGGCCGCACTCCCGGTCCCCGCGTGCGGCCTGTCGGGAAGATCGCGCAGGAGTACGGAAGCACCTCGCGGAAGGAGCACCCGCCGAAGCACGACTTGAGCGGCGCAGCGCAGGGGCGCCCGAAGATGACGTGTGACTACCGTGGAGCGTGATCTGTGATGGACCCGACCCAGCGTAGGGGAGTGTATGGGAATTCGGCCGCCACCTGTCCTTCTCTTTCCATTTGGCAGCCGCCACGGCGGGGGGCGCATTAGGGTACAGGACGCATTTCACCTCTCAAATCCCAAGAGCTATTTGTGCGTCGAAATTTGAGTCAAATGATCATTGGTCGACATGGTCGAGCTCCAAGGCCTGGTGAAACCAGCCCCCAGGCCTATCACGACGTGTGGTGTTTTTCTTTCCTGCCTGGAAACCCAGTCTCAACCAGAAACAAACGGTTTCAGTATGGCTTGCTTGAAATCCTTTACGGAAATGGCTGGGGCTGGTTGTTTGGTTTCCCAGCTGGGCCTGGTTTCGGGACCCAGTGATGTGATCCCGCTGGGCCGCTGCGCTGAGTGTTGCCCGGTTCACGGCTCCACCAGTGCGATCTTGCCAATTGTCTTCCTTCTTCCCAGGAGCCCCGAACGTGGCGATGCCCTTGTTCCTAGTAGTAAGGCGAGGAGCCTTCTAGTAGCGTCCTTGCTCCTAGTACTAAGGCCAGGAGCCTTCTAGTAGCGTCCTTGCTCCTGCCTGGTACCCCTGAAGAGTGGTAATTATCACTCCGTTTTGTAATTATCAATCTTTTGGAAAGTGGTGTGACAACACGGAGTGATAATTACCACTCTTCAGGGTACCAGGTAGTAGTAAGGCCCCGTTCCTTTTTCCATCCATTTGCTTTGACATGTGTCTTTCGTGCAGAACTCTTGCGCAAACAAAATTTGATTCAAGCCAAAGTTGTCCGACTGAAAGATGCTGAAAAAAACACTGCGCGATGAAATGCCGAAAGAACCTGTGGTCGCTTCATATGAAACACCTCCGCAAAGATCTCTGAGGACTTGACAAACATTTCCTCGCCATCGTCTCCGGAAATGAAGCCAAATCCACCGCCTTGACAGGTGTTGGGATTCCACATGAAACACAAGCCTAAATCGAGTTGCTGATGTCTGCGACAGGTTTGGAAGACGACGCGCGGCCAAGGGCAGTACAAACCTTCGAAATGACCTCAGCGACAAATGCCGTGAAGTCAGAAGCTTGCGGTTTGTTCTTTGAAAAGAAGGGCGGGGTGAAAGTATGGCAAAGTTTAGATACACATCGCAGAAACCAACAAAACACATGGATTGGCACATCAAATCATCAAGCCCAAAATGCTCCATGGGACTGGCATATTACCATATGAGTCAGTCTACAATAATTATTGATCAAATCTCGGAGTCGCGTGGGGAACTTTTGGAGGCAAAAAACCCGAAGCAGCGCCCGCGACGTCCGCATCGGGGCCATCGGTCTTAGAGCCATGCGCCAGTTCTGAAACTCGGAGCTCCCTGAGCCGCCGCGGCGCCGGTTTTCGACCGAAGGAGGCGCAAGCCATAGGGCCAATCGAAAACCCCGGTCAAGCCATCAAGGCGACATCATGCGGATCAAAGCACAGCTTTGGCTTTGGAGAAACCACCATAGTCGGGTTTTAGGGAGGATTTGAACATGCCGGTGACTGTGTGAAACAAGCGTGAAATGCCACAGCCAACACCCCCCAAGGAAAATATAACTTCTTTAACAACGGCACAAAGATGGTCGGACATTCTGACAAAGAAACGCGTGAAGGATGCTAATGTGGCATGCAAAAACAAAACCGGCCCTTGTTCAGTCTTGCTATCTCTTGACGAAAGCGCCACACAACAAATAGCTGAGGCTCATGCCTTTCCAGCCTCGGCATAGCTTGCGGAGGCCCGTTCGGAACACCAAGCCCGTTCGCGGCTCTGAACTTCAAGAACGTCTTGCCATGGCGCCTGCCCTCCAATGTCCTCATGGTTATACTGACACTTGGATGGCATGGCCCACAGAAAGACCAGTTTCCGCTAGAAACGGGAGGTGAACTCCACTTCCATGAAGCGATGCAAGTGGATGACTTTGGTAGATGGAGGGAGGGTAGGCGCCACTAGCATTCCTGGACTCCACTTCGCGGTGGCCGCCCTCAAGCCTGGATAGATTGATCCCCGCCCCTGTGGGATTCTCGAGGGAGCTGGCGCCCGAACGGGCGGATTTGGGGTGTCCTTCTCCATGATCGCCGAGGAATGATGAGGCATCATGGTGGTTTCAGCCCTTTTTCAGAGGTGTCACCTTCACACCTCGGATGGCCTGGACAATAAAGGTTGACAAGGTGTTTGCCCCTTTTTCCACGCTGTTTCTATTAGAGCAGGGAGACCAATCCACGCAAGGAGGCTTTGCAGGTGATCCGAAATCTGGAGCCTCTCAGGAGTCTCACAAGACATGTCTTGCGCCAAATCAAGAGATTCAAGACCCTACGCATCCTATGTCCTGAAAGATTAACATCTGAACACATCTAAAGACCACTGGTTGGTGGAGGAAGCTACAGTCATCCAAAGGTACATGTTCCCCAAACGCGACCATGGACGCTCCGTTCAGGAATCGGGGCCGTACACTCATCTGGACAGGTCCGGACCTTCTCACCAATCCCTATGGTTTTGAGGGCGCAGTTGACCTGTGAACGGAGCGTCTGGGTCTCTTCATGTCTCTTCCCTCCACGAAGTCTGAGACCAAGTGGCTGGAGACCAACTCCTTAGTCCACTTCAGAGAGCCAAAGCGCTCTGAAAAACGAGCTCTCCAGTGGAGGAAAACACACTGAGCGAAGCATCCATCCAACATGGAACGTGCGAAATAATCCAAGCCTTAGCCTTCCGAAGGCTGAACACCTCTAAAGACTCAAGACCTTAGAGTAACATGACATCATGACACTGGCTGTGGGTCAGGGGTCATGGCACCACCAAAATACCAGAAAACCGACCGGTTTTCCATGGGCTTTCCCTACCTGGAGGGTCTCTCCTCACGGACCGGTCGGAGCGAACATGGGTGGGGGACACCCATCCCCGAACGTGAGAGGCGCCACCTCCTCAGGTGTTCGCCTCAGGAATCTGGGCCAACCCGGAAAAGGGCATAAACCAAAGCACGCCATGGCATTGACACCAGAAACGACCCCCAGCTATACAGGTATATGCATGGAGCCTTTGGGTGAGGAAAAGCCTTCCTGGATCCTCCTAAGTGCATCCCTCTCGTTCGACCAGCCAGGCTCGTTCGACTCCTCTTCCGCTCTTTCCCGTGCTTCGCACGCGCCAAGTGGCTGAACGTTCGGTTCGCCGGGCCCGCCCTTGCCCTGCATCGGTGTTCTCCGAAGAAACCGACAGGGAAGCCACCAGCTGGGGGGGAAGTCCCACCGTCACCCAAAACGATTTGGAAGAGGAAGGCCGAAGGCCTGGTGCATCCCGTTCCTATAGAAGGGTTGACCTGTTACTCCTAAACATGTTCAGTGGTCTGGAAAGATCAGGAAAGATCCTCTCTCAATTTCATGGTTTGCACTTCAGGGCCAGTTACTTAGATCAACGAGTCTCCGTGTTTGGATTGTATGAGGTCTTGCGTTACTAGAAAGTGACACTGGGAGCGTGTTGGACCTCAAGCAAGATATCCTTTTGGGCTTGCACAGCCTCCAGAAAATGCAAGCTGTCAGGAATCTTCAGCCCTGAAATGCTATGAAATTTCTATTTACGGCAAAGCACTGCACGGAATTGCAACATCAATGTTCCGGCTAAGCCATGCCTTCAAGCTATCACGGCAACATATCACATCACAGAAACGCATTAACCCCTTTGGTGGACTGGTGGGGTCCAGAGTTCCAGGAAGAACTGATGAATGGGGCCAAGTGGAGCGTGCTCGTCTTAAGTCCCCTATCAACCTCAAAAATCGCAGCAGCTGAAAAGTACCCCTACCACGGTCCGATTTCGCTGCCACCGCTCATGACCCCTTGGAACCCTAAACCCGTCCTGGACGGCCCCCCGCACCTGTCCGTGCCCGAAGAAACGCCACGTCGGCCACCCACACGCGAAACCCGTCGTCTGATCTCCCCGACCCGCAGGGCTGCCACCAAACCGCCGGTGTTGAAGGGTTGCACCTGAGTCGCGACTCCAAACGTGTGAGGACGTCGCGACTCCACCCGACGCGAAGGCCATATGCTAGTATAGTAGTGCTAGTAACGCGTGGTTTTGGCGGAGGCCATCGCAAGTAGGTTGGAGGCCCATCGCTACAAGGAGCAAGAAGCTAGTGTTGAATATAACGATTTCATTGGTGTGGGTACTGTTCTGTTTTTTGTTTTTGTTACCAGTTGACAGCTGTGAACGGAGCGTCCAAAACCAGGTCCAAAGTTGGAACGACTGCGACAGATTCGCTCCATTACAACATGGGAACGCCCTGGTCTTGTAGTGCAAAGAGAACCTTAGTATACATACCGTACCCTAGGCTTCCAAGACCATTCAAAGAACGGTTGACCTGGTTGCGTAGTGTAAAATCCTTCGTAAAACAATGGTGGTTCGGTAAAGGCCATTAAAACAATGGTTGTTGGAAGCCTAGGGCATAGTAATAATGGTTGTTCGGGATGCAGCCGGATTCAGCCTCTTTAGTTTAAGAGAGCTGGCCGCCACTGTGAGCGTGCGCCTTTTTTAATGGAGCTGGATTCATTTATATTCAATGCAGGAAAATATAAAGCATAGGAGGAAAAATGTAAAAAGGCAATAAAAATAAAAAGAGATAAAAGAGGAAGGTTGAGTTGTGAAAGCCTGGTGGTAGCCTGTTCTGTAAATTAAAGATGGTTCGAATCTGGCAACAGTCATGTGATGTTGGGACCAGCCTTCCGTAAGGCTGGTTCAGCCATTGGGCTACCAACCTGCTGTCAACCTTTTGGCTGGTCTTTCGAGATGAAGCAGCACAAGTATGGGTCCCGCCAGGTATCATCATCATCATCAGTCCCCTGGTTTATAGCATTAGGGAAGCTAAAGAGACAGACTGATCCGACGCTTTCTCAGAGGGTCAGCTACTTGAGGTCATAAAACCACCGGAAAACACCTAACCCAAAGGCTCATGGACCCTCAAACTGCTGCATGTTTGAGGTCCAAAACCCTGGCTGGTTTCGGGTCCAAACCCTAGCGAACTGAGGGTCCTTTATGAGCCTTTGGGAACTATCGGATCTGACAACATTCTCCCCGGAATACTCCCCGGAATTCAGCTCCAGTCGCCCAGTCGTCCACGGGTCGGCGAGTCTGCCGGCTTGGGGTTGATGATCACGTGGATTGAAGACGTGTCAAGAGAACTCTAGAAGTCGAACCACCATTGTTTTCATACACGGACTGATGCTCGGGCAAGTGCCATCCACGGCATTGCGCGGCGGAACGGGCATCCGTCACCATTGTTTTAATGTGTTTTAATGGCCTTTACCGAACAACCATTGTTTTCACTAAGGGTTATACACCATTGTAACCAAATCAAATTTTAAAGATGGTCTTTGACTTTCAGGGAGCATGTCCACCACCGGGGTAGGCTGGGTGGGTGATGTCCTAGTCCTATATACCTGAAACTCACATCATGTCAGAGCAAGGGAGGGTACAAAAGACTGGCCACGGGGAAGGCGATCGTCCTGAACCAAATCCCACTTCTGGTTTTTGGTTTCAAGTCACGAACGAAGAATATGAATCAATGCGTTCAATCATCCCAAGAAACGTTGAAAATTAAGATTAACCACACACATACAAGTACAGTGATCTATGTCCTTCTATACTGACAGGCCTCGCCAACCGGCGAAGCGCTTGGGGGGACTAACTTCACTTCATATACAGACGGCTAAGTCCTTGGGGGGGGCTGGGTGGAAGTTGCACTTTTTGGAGATTCTGATCTGTAAGAGCGGGAAAGGTACACAAAAAGATGGAATCTCCAAGAAAAGGATAAAAAGTAATACTTCCACACACCCAAGCCCTCAAAGCTCAAGAATACAGCTTCTTATAGCTTTTTCAACGTTTTTCACTACAAAGTCCTAACATTTGAAGAAACCATGTAAGCCCAAAGAATTTACAGTGTTTTCTGCGCACCAAAGAATTTGCATCTTTCCCCCCGAGACTCTGCTGATGCTAATGATGCTCGACCAAAATTTATCCTCAACATTTAAGTATCAATTCTCAATGCTATATTTTCTAGAGGTTTTGAAGCTATAAGATTTCCAGGGACAATTTTTGTTGATCATTTTCCCGGTTTTTGACGTTTTTTGATGAATCCACATGAGCCCTGGTGATGCCAGAAAAGCGGGTCGGCGGCTAGCTTGCTAGGAACAACGCCTCTTCTTCTTCGTCAGATGTTGCTTGGTCCCATTCTGCCGCGTCTAACTCGCGTCTCGCTCGTCGCTGGGCCTCGCTGGGCCTCGCTTTCTCTGAGACGTCCGACGTTCTCTGCCCTTGGCCTTTGGGTCTTCGGATCGTTAATCACGTCATAGATGACCTGGCGCCCCATCCCGGACCTCGCCCCGAAGCGCGCCCAGACGCCGAAGCGCGCGGACGCCCTGGACGCCCGTTAGCGCCGAAAGCGGGCTGCCCTTCGACCGAAGCGGCGGGATCGCGGAAAGAGAAAGAGGTGAAGATAGGTGAAGTGATCTTATTCTATGGTTCGGTGGGACTGGGGTGCCAGGGGATCCCTAAGGATCACTTCACCTCTTAGGATCCAGTCGTACGCTCTGAGGTTCGGTGGGACTGGGGGTTGCCAGGAGGGTCCAAGTACCGAACCTGAGGAGGTACGACTGGATCCCTATAGGGTATATAAGACCTGTGGGGCCCTACTGGGATAGTCTTAACCTGTGATACCTCACCTGTGATGAGGGTACCCAAACTAGGTATAGTCGACTAGGGGCTCCAGTCGTACCTTGTCAGGTTCGATACGCCTGCACTCTGCACCCTCCCACGACCGTCCTTTCCGGGAGCCCCCGGTCCCACCGGGGGGAGCGGATCCGACCCGTCGGAATCCGCCGGTGCCTTGGTGCCCATGGGTGGGATCACACAGCCAAAGGCCGGACAGGAGCCCGGCCTCGGACGAGGTCGGGGGTTCTGGTGTTCGGGGGTTCTGGTCTGGTGGAAGGTCGGGTAGAAGGTCTGGTGATGTCTGGGGAGTTAGATGATCCTAACAGCATCCTGGTAGCATCCTGGCATCCTGATCCGATATTTGTCCAATGGAGATCAGGTTGTAGACTATACCCAGCAAGTTGAAAAGGACGAGTTCAACGGGTGCGTTAGCGTTTTCAGGACGCATTTCACCCCCCAACTTCCAAGACCTAATCTTCACAGGTTTTTCACAGCCTTTCACCCTGTTTTCACGTGCTTTTCATGGTTTTTGTGCGTCGTTTTCACAGATTTTTCACGGCCTTTTCAAGCTTCCAGCTCCCGTTTTGCTAAAGCACCGGTTAAACTGGTGCGTTACTAAAGAACTGGTTAAACTGGTGCGTTGACCCACTGGGATAGCTCCTTTGTGCAAGACATGGTTTTCCACCCACATGACTAGACTCTCATGATGGCTTCAACGTGGCTTGGACCGAGTCCAAAAGATTCCTGCAGAACTTACTGGCAGGAACTGGAAGGGGATCTAGCCGCTAGCCTCTCTGGCTGTGAACGCCGGAACCCAAATTCCTTCCAAAGCCAACCCTCCCTCACTCCCTCACCATTGCACAGCCTGCAGAAATGGTTGAGCATCTGTAGAATCTGTAGGAGTTCTCACTCTCACCAATTTTTGTTGTTTTAAACGGATGTTCCAAAGTCTTCGATTATGTATGATGCTCCATGTCGTGCAGCGAGGCTCTTGGCATGTCACGCGCGCGCACACGCGCACCCCAGTGGTCGCCAAGGCCGAAGCAAGCAAAACATGCGGCTACCATCCTCTTGCAGGATCCAGCCATACTTCCCCTCAGCATGGCCGCAGTTGCACGAGCATGCACATTTATATAACACAGTATACCAGCACCACCCAAGGGGTGGTTCTTAGATGGAAAACGCATCTTCAGGGGGGGTGTCTCTAACCACCCTACCTTCATCAACAAAGGGCAAAGAATTTGCCTGCCCTACCGGGTTTTCGATGCTCGGGCCCGTCTGTGTAGTCTATTTCTGATTTAGACCATCCAATGTATGGAATGACTACAGAAAGACCGCTGAGTTCTGACCCCAATGTCCCCGGCAGACATGGGTCATACATGGAGTGTCTGGGCTTGGGAAGGGGACTTTGTACCAGATTCCGGAGTTTGGACTCACTCACTTGATGGAAATCAATGGACACCTGTCACCCTAACACATACATAACCGATTACAATATAAACGCAACCACCCCAAAAAGCCCTGCCAAGTGAAGCTGACAGTGTTCGTCTGCCACTCCGACGGTCCCAGAAAACACCACCGAGTCCCATGACGGTCGGGTAGGACGAGCAGTTGACTCGCGTCACTTCTGGGATCGGAGGCACCGATGAGGCAACTCTGACCCGTTAGCCGCGTTGGCCAGGACCCGACTCGAAGAAGGTCTCCGAGTTATGGTGGCTGAAATGCAGACTTCAAGCTTTCGCAGTTGGTGACCTGTTGGAGGCTGGTAATCAGCAGTGGAAAAGACGATGAACCATAGACAGAACGCAACCCTGGTGGCTCACTAGCTTGGATTTGCTTAAGGAAGCTGGAGAAGAAAAGCATATTCTCATATTCCCCCGAACGGAGATGTACGCATAGGGAAAATGACACATCACCTTGAGCAAAACCAGGCTAGTGGCTGCCTGTTTTTGTTTCTCCCCTCGGTGATGCCTTTGATGCCAAGCTTCGCCGCCACGTTCGCCGGCATCTTCCACCACGCCGGTCACCCGGGTCCTGCGCCGAGCAGCAACGGCTCTTCCGCTGCAAGTGGGTTGTCGTTATTTGAGTACCGAGGGTACCGAGGTCTCCAACTACCTGGGAGGTTGGCCATCGCTAGTCGGTTGGAGGCCATCGCTCTCAATGGGTAGACTATATGGTACTGGTATGTTTTGGTCTATGTCCCGAACCTTCTAGAGGGTCGAACTTGGAGGTTTGGGGGTACCTACTTTGGCCTGAAAGCATCCTGAGAAGCTATGGCAAACCTATGGCCCAAGGAGCACCCTGAGCTGCCACCAGGGGCCCCATCTGTTGTGCACAAGGGCCCGAGCGCTTCTACCGCTTCCTCTTGCAAGGGCCACCAAAATTCCATCCTCATTGATAATGGTATTCGGGAGCATTCCTGGATCATTTGGAAAAATACTGGAAACATATGGACACTTTTGCTCCACCTTCTCGACAAACGGCAGATGCCCACGCTGGCAGACGATCATCCGGATCACCTCACTTAAGATGCCGATTCGACTCACATCCCCCCATGCCCGTCTGGAGGAGCTCATGGCCGGGACCACCAGGGGTGCCTGCAACAGCGCAGCTGGAGACTTTGGTTCGGTCCCTCGATGATGCGCAGCTTGGGACTTGTTCTCAGCAATGCATGTGAATCGTTCAATTCGTGGAGAAACGCAACACAGAGACGTAGAACATGAGAGAGTTGCTCTTGATGGATTTCGATGGATTGGGCGGTTGGTATGAGGCTTAAGTGTGGTAGGATACGAGAAGTATACGCATGTGGCAGATTGTGGCAGCACAATGCCTACACTCTTCATGGGATTCCCGTATACACTTCAACAAGCAAACTTCCGCCCAAAGGACTCTGGGTCGAACCAGCTATAAGTCATCCAAATGGCCACCTCTGTCGCTACAAATGCCCCTCCTCCACCACGTGAGAGTCCGTCGCCCGTTCATACCCCAGCCAGTACTGGGCACTGCGAACTGGGTCCAGGTACTTTACGGCAGGAACATGTCCAAATGGCACAAACACTCCATTGCCTACATTGACCCCTCTGGCACCACCCCAATGTAGACATATATGGCATAATTACATGGAGTGTCTGGGAAATGGCCCAGTTTTCGGAATCCACGGATTTCCCTCAGCTTCGCTCCGTCCTCCAACGTCCACGTCCTCCTCCCGGTCCGGGGTCCACGGAGCACGTGCACCTCCCATTTCAGGCTGAATGTCATCGGCCCTTGGCCGACCCGTCTTCTCATCGGTCACAATGAAGTAGCCTCGAGGGCGATCTGTGGAACACGGGTGGAGGGTAAGCGCGGGTCGGGTGCGGGTCGGGTCAGCCGAGGGTTCGGCTGAAGGATCACTGTCGACAAAGAGGTCGATGAGAGCACAATTCAGTGGAGTTGCAGATGCAATTGAACTTGAGGATTCTACTGCATTCAAAAACCTGTCAAGAAAACCTGAAACGGCCGCCCCCTGTGTGTGCTTGTGTGTGTGTGTGCGTGCGCGCGCGCAGTAGCGTCATACAAAACATCTTCCAGTCAGTATGTTCCAATCAAATTGAGTGTACAAACCAGGTGGGGCGTAGGGAAACGCCCAGGCAACCCTCTCAACCGGAAGGTGGTAGAAGAAGTATGCCAGATCCCTGGAAGCACGGTCTATATTAATAAGTGTACGAGGAACGTCGGATGGACGGGACCCCGTGGTTGCGTGTGAGCCGAACGAACGAAGGCACGGCGGCGAACGAGCGAACGGAAAGTGGCAAAAGGTGCGGAAGCGAAATGCAGCGAAAGCAGTGACGCACACGGCACGTCAAAGCGGCACCCTGAAGAGAATCGAGCGGACGCCCAATTTTCTTGAGCCAAAGTGGTCGCGAACGGAGTGAATGTGTTGTACACTCTTGGTGAAACGCGACAACTGAAAAGTGTACATGTATTGCATGCTGTTACATACTAGGGGTTCACAGAAAATGACTCCCCCCTCCCCGTTTTGGGGCAGCATTCCTTTGTACATGCATGAATTACCGCGCCGGGTGGCAGCGGTTTCGACGACCTACGAAGGCTTCGAACTGCTCGGAAGGCTCCTATCTGTCTTAGATGGGACTAAGCACTTTAAATCTGTACGAATGCCAAGCAAGCATAGCGCTTTGAACCACTTTTGTGGTGGCAACGCTTTGGTGAAAATGTCTGCAGCTTGTTCATTCGTATCGATGTACTTGATTTCGACAGATGGGTCGTCGATGCATTCCTTTAAGGAACTGAGGTTTATCTTATGTGTTCGGCTGATGTGTCGTAGCTTAGGGGAGAAGCCCTTCCTTACTACAAGAATTGTGGCTTGGTTATCTTCCTGTATGACGAGGTTAACGTCCCGTCCAAGAAGTTTATCCCATAGCTGTAGCGAAGGCAGTCCTTCTTGATACAGCGAATAGGCCAAGCTTACTACTTCCGATTCTGTAGTGGATCTTGACGTGGAGGTCTGCCGTTTCGACACCCATGCTAATGGATAGTGGGTGTTAGGGCCCTTAAGTACTAAGTACCCCCCTGAGGTCGACTTCACGTCATGTTGGTCCCCACCGAAGTCGGCGTCCACGAAAAGTTCTAGCCACAGCTCACTAGCATCATCGCCGCAGACGGCGGTTAGTCTATATTCTAGTGAGTGCTGAATGTACTGAATGAGCCGTAGCAGCTTTTTATCGTGGACACGGGTCCACTTCTGCACCTTGGTGGCCAGATCGTTGATCGGCTTCAGTATATCAGGCCGTGCTAACCTGGCAAGCCAAAGGGCTTTCATCAGGATAGAGCATGCCTTTGGTGCGAGCTCTCCGGGCGACTCCTCATCAGCCGTGGTGAATGTGCCGTCGACGAGAAATGGCGTCTGGGCTGACTTTATCTTATCGACACCGGCCACCGACTTGTAGAGGTCGATGGTTTGCTGCGCGTAATCTTTCATATCGAAGATTAGGGCGTCAGCACTACCGCGCAAAGCAGCGGTCTCGGTGTTTCCTGAATCTGGGACTACCGCGTAGATGTGGTTCCTCCCTAGCATTCTGTAAATGGCTTCGGGTGGTTCAACGTTAACAACATTCGTGAGTTCTGACCAAAACTTTTGGTGGTTCTCCCGTGGGCCTGCCAAAGTGAGGTCATCAACGTATGTGGATAACATTAAACGAGGACCAGAAAACCAGAAGTTACCGGGGAACTCTGGGATTTCTTCGCCACCCATTTTCTTAAGAATGTCCTTCAAATGCTGTTCCCACATCCCTCCTGCGTCGGGATGTCCGTACAGCGCCTTGACGAGAAGGACCACTGGTTGAACAAATTTGTTCTTCCACCACGCGGGTCGAAGCTCAGGTGGTAGTTCGATCCAAGTTTTGTACTTGGACTTCAGTGTTGCTTGCACATACGCCTTCACCGCATCCGCGGCGGTGCACAGGTTACCAGGTAGTGACCCGTAGGCGAGGCAAGCGTTCAGCCCTTGGACCGAAGTCGGGTTTGCGCCTAATTCCTCATAGACGGCTGCTGCGCCATGTTCGTCCTTTGCGCAGTCACCTCGGTAGACAATCCTACCTTTCTTTTTCTGCAACTCTTTTGCCAGCTCGTAAAATTTAATGGAGGCTATGGTCATTAGTTTACCGAAATGGACGGAGACTCCGGAAGCCTTAGCCTCAGCACGGACGTGCTCCTTTACCCTAACGGATTCATACTCCCAAGTACCTTCGTTAACCAAATCGGCTGCCTCGTCCTTAACCTTTTGCAAGGCTTCAGGATCGCTGAGCATCTCGGTGCGACTTAGGAGCTTAGTGACCAAAGCCGCTACCTGATCCTTACCATCGTCGGTCTTAGGGATCTGGTAGGCCTCGTGCATGAGAGCACTTATATCCATTAAACTTTCTACCATTTGCCCGACAGTGTCATCTGTCTCAACTGCGATGGCCATAGCGTCGATCCCTGACAGGGCTGACACATGTTTCAGCGTCTGCTCTTTGTCCCTGTGCTCATGTTCATGGGTACATGAAAAACATGGCATGGCTGGGGCATGATGGGAAAAAGACATGCTAGGGTATAGGGCCTTTGCAATTTGGACGGTCATCTGCCTTGGGTAAAATGCAGTACGAGCTGTCTGCGACCCGACCGCTTGATCATGTTCGTGGGGTTTATGGGTGCATTGGAACTGCGAGAACATGTCGACGATAGCCCTGCTGGTGGTCATCAGGCGCCACCTCTTTTTAATGGGTCTGCCTTTAGTGGACTTCACACCAACAGCACACCCGTCAAATTCGACTGGAACAAACTCGGGGTGGCTATCAAAGAAATGTTTTACGTCTGTGCGTTGCCAACTTTCACACCCTTTAGGCCACTCGAATGTGACAGTGCCTTCTCGAGCTAAAGTAAGCTCTGCAGATTTAGCGAATTCAGCAAATAAACGTTTAGACTCCTTAACCTGAAGTGCATGCCTTTTCATGAAGTTAAGCCCCCCTTTCATGCGATTTACCCTTTGCCAAGGAGACCCTGATGTGCAAGGGATTGAGGCCCATAAATCAGGAATCTCTTTGCAGGTGCTTATATGGTGATGCAGCTGTGCTTGCATTTGGGGATCGTCTAGATCGAGGTGCTCTTTTGAAAGGGCAATGTGGGGAATTCCCATTTCCAGAAAAGTCTCGTGCATTTGCGAATCCGAGGCACATGCGAACTCGAACATGCATCGGCCAGGCCGCGCCTTACGCGGTTTCTTCTTCTTCTTCTTCTTCTTAGACTTAGAAACTTGAGCTGGTTGTGCTGTCGATGGCATGCCAAACACCGGGACTCCACTCTCAGGGCGAGTGTGGATGAGTTGTGTCCTGTATGTGGTATGTGGCGAGAGCGACAGCCCCGATATCACAGTCGGAGTCGCATCGATGACGTGTGGCTCATCCTCAGTAACACTTTCGGATGAATCCGTCGGAGGCGCGGTCTCAGGCTCCCGCGGTGGAAGCTCCTCCACGGTGATGCCTTCCTTCCTTTTGGCAAGAAGGTCGCGTCTCTCCTCGTCAACGAGTTTGGCAAAACGTTTCCTGCATGCAGGCGTGTGATATCGTGTCTTCTTTTCACACGCTTTGCACCCTGGAGTTTCGCTAAACCGAATGATGCGATCCAAAGTGATGTACACCCCCCTGGTTTTAGGGTCCATGGGAGTTGGGGGTACGGCGTCGGCTCCCTCCATTCCGAAAGGAATCTCCTTCATGGGGATACCCGGCATGTCAAGACGTGCAAGATCGTCGAGGACTCCTAAAGAACCTCCCTTCAAATGCGCTAGCTTAACAGAGGCCATTGGAAAACATGGAGGACCATCTTCAACATAAACTTCAGCTTCGGGGACTTCTTGGACATTGACATGTTCACTAACTTTGTAATCCATGTAGTCAAGAACACGAACAACATAACGATACCGAAACCCAGCATCTATTCGCCAACCTAAGAACAAACATGGAGACATGTTCGGCTCTAGGGTGCGTTTAGATACCCGCTTATCACGGTAGTACATCAGTTGGCCAAATGAATGTCTCATGCCGTCGAAGGGCTTGCGAGTGAGCGCCTCCCATTGTGTCTTTGCGGGTTCCAAGGCTGACGGTCTGTCAAAACTCATGGAGAGGCATGCAAAGGGATATGAGTGGGTGTGAAAGGAATATGGCAACCCGGATTGTAGGTGGATTGCTCTGCAGCACTCCTTTTCTTCACGGATGTCTCTTTCCATCATGGCGTTATGAGGCCATCTGTTTGGCAAGGACGTTTCCGGAATCAACCCAACTTCATGTGCAGCCTGTTCCAACTCTCCAGCCTCGTCCATCTTAACAAGGACGCGTGTAGCTACCTCGTTAGCCTTCAGGCCTAGAAAATGGCGGAAGTTCTTGGAGTGGGTACTGGCATCACGCTTACTCATGGGGTATGCTATTCTGGCACCCGAGTAGGTGTCTCGGACTACGTGAAATGCTTTAACCCCACCTACACCCTTGCCGGCGAAGTCCTCTCCTTTTGCCATTATAACGTCGTCAGTTGACAACTGCTCATATGGACCTTTTGGTGGGTCTATGAAGTCGTCATCTTTGACATCAGGTTTGCGTGAGACTCTCTTAGAAGTTGACTTCGAGATCTGACAAACTGGACAAAAGGGATTCTTGGGATAGTGTGTTAGAATATGCGGTTCCTCGAACGCAGCTTTCTTTAGCATGGTAGGGTCATCCGCTATTCGTGCTTCATCACCATCATAGGCAAGCTCAATTAATGTCTTGTCGTCGTCTGGA